TGCAACGCATGACATACCTGGCGGGCTTAAGCAATGACAGAACGTGGCCTGGAGGGAAGGGACAAAACTTATTGAGAGCTACAATGGATAGGGAGGATTGGCCATGATCGCCTACGTCCTGAAGAGACACGGAACATAGAAAAAGAAGGCATAGACTATATAAATGCCCAATCAGTAAAGCTAGACCAGATTTTGGTATGCGAGTATCGTGAGTTGACCGGCAGAGGGGTTCGCTCTAGCGTTAAGAATTTTGTCTGAGATATTGCCGTTAAACTCCTTTGAACTGATCTTGAGCCACATTCGGTAACAACGTAGGCGCACTGAAAAATCAAGCGAGACAAACGACATATTTGTAACTCATTTCAGTACGCAGAAATTTCACATCTCTCCACAGCTTTCTTTTTCTTTAATATCTTGAAACAGTTTTTCTTAGGTATAATAGTGGATTTGATTTCTGTTGCTTCTCCTCAGCTTTGAATTCAGATCTGCCCTTCTCCTAGACTAGCCGCCAACCATGCCTACATAGATCTCTTCCGCAAGCGACTCATTGTTCTCTAGGGAAAAGTAATAGATCCTTACTTTTCTTAAGGGCATAATCTGAAGTAGACATCTCAGTCGGAATTCGAACCTTGCTCCCCGATTCCATTTTCCTATATGTTTACTGTTACGCTATATGTACTTTCACAAATATATTTCAAAGCAACAGTGTATATTATTTACATTATTCGAACTATTGTCCTCATCTTTGTCGCCATATTTATTACAACGTTTCGGCCGTTGTACGCTCCGGTCTTCTTCAGGTGGTTGGAATGTCGAACTGAACTCTTTATTTCGCTCACCGGGGTAGACTGTTCTAGTTCCACGTGCCATGTTTAATGGATGTCAGCTGTCAGTTATCTCTTGTTAATTCCCTTTCAAGTTCTCCACCGCCTTAACCTTAGGACACATGGCACATTGGATAAAGGCGTTGGTTAGATCCAGGACCCAAAGAGTGTGAGTTCAATACTCGGTTAAGGCAATGGAGAACTTTCAGAGGGAAATTAACAGGAGGTAACTGATAACTGACATCCATTAAACCTGGCACGTGGAACTAGAACAGTCTACCCCAGTGAGCGAAACAAAGGGTTCAGTTCGACATTCCAACCACCTGAAGAAGGCCGGAGCGTACAACGGCTGAAATGTTGTAATAAATATGGCGACAAAAATGAGGACAACCGAATAATGTAAATAGTGTACATAATACCTCATCTCAGAAATATAGACAGATGCTGAAAGGCCGAAACGTTGTAATAAATATGGAGACTAAGATGAGGACAATAGACCGAATAATGTAAATAATGTACATAATACATCATCTCAGAAATATAGACAAATACAACAGTGAATAAGATTTATCCAAAAACAAGAGGATGAAACTAAGAATAATGTGGAAATGAAAAATGTTTCATATAAATAGCGACAATAATAAGATGGGGTAAAATAATAATAAAATAATATTCTTGACAATGGATTCTCTGACGATAAAATGGAGTAAAACTAGTAATAAAATAATATTAGTGATAATGTTTCATTAAAAAAACAATAATAAAAAGAAAAAAACTAGTAATAAAATTTTAATAGTGGAAATTGCTTCATCCAAAAGCACCCATGAAAAGATGGAGTAAAATTAGTAATAAAATAGTAAAAAGGCTTTATATAAAAGCAACACTAATAAGATGGAATAAAATAAGCAATAAAATAATAATAGTGAAAATGCTTCATCTCAAAAGCAACATAAGACAGCGTAAAATTATTAATATACTGAGAATGCTTCATATAAAAACAATAATGGAATTAAACAACTAATAAAGTGTTCTTCAAGTGGAACAAAAATCAGCCTAAATTTCTTTACAATTGTAATTTTTAATTGAAACTAAAAATAAGTTGCAGTTGCATAGAAAATCTAATCAACAAAAACAAAAATCATTAACACTATAAACAATATTACCCATAATACACCTGTACTTAAAATAATGGCTACAATAACGGTATTGTTTCGTTTAACTGTAAAAATAAAACAAAAAATCTCTCTTGAAAATAAATGCTTAATCTATAATATAAAATATAAGGTTACAATAATGATCAATATTAATACAGAAAATAATACATAAGGCCAACAGAAAAACAAACTGTAAAAGAAATTCAATAGATTTCTAAAAATTCATAAAATATTTAGAGAAAAAATATGCTAACAATACAACTCTTTCGAAATATGTATGTGATCAGAAAGAAAAATATCACCATCAACATTAAATGTGAAATCATATAAACGGGGTCTCCTTGAAATGTTAACTGCCTACTACGCTTAAAAGAAAACTTCATCATAATCAAGTTTATAAAGCAAAATAAATTGTTGAATAAAAACAATGACCTCCTCGGTAAATGCAGACATATTAACGCCTTGTTTGTTATTAAAAAAAAAACAGATTCCAAAAAATGTATAATTCAGTTACTTTTCTCTAATAATAATTGTAATTATACTTACATCAACCCAAACATCATTTTAAATATAATAAATTAAATAGAATGAAAATCCTGAACAAATATATGAGAAGAAAGATATATTTGATATCAAATAAACTATAAATAGCTAGACACAGTTAATATATATGAACAATTTACTTAAGATTGATTTACATACATTCCTATCCATAACAATAAAACATTGATTAGAAATATCTATATAAATAAAACGAAATGCATGTGTGTCCGTCCGCCTGGTTTTCGATTTCGACGAATCATAAACAACATGAAGTAATAGATAGTAACTACTGTAGTTCCACACGATTAAAAATTAAATAAATAACTCATTTAAAGTTAAATTTAAATATCAAACAGAGTGAAAGCATTTAAAAAAACATTTTTTTATTAAATGTTTAACTTTAATTTCGCTTTTCGTCGCAATTGCTATCGACTAATTAAACTATAATTAAAACTTAAGCGAGGTACGGTACGTTGCTCATATGTATTTTTTTTTTTCTAACATGGGTACTGTGACATATTCGAAATATTACATAGCTCGGGTCCCCTAATATCTTTTAAGAGTGACTTTATGTGAAAGGACCATAAATAAAGGTGATTTTAAAACAAAATAATTAAGCGCAAAATAAATATTAAAAAAAAACTACGAAGATTGGTTGCGTATACGAAGAAAGATTATGCCGAATTAAGGTGTCGAATAAAGATAAAATAATTTTATTATTTCTAAATTCTTATAACTTGTACATACATAGGACGCTGATGGCAAAAAGCTGAAGGCTCAAAAGCCCTCCTCGGGAGCTGGCCTATAGTCCTCACGAAGAGGGTCTTCTGGGCTACTATATAAATAAAAGTCAAAAGAAAAACTTTTCTTGGTCAACGCATTTCGTCCACTGAGGAATTTTACTAATGTAAATATGGAGATTTTATTTTGTAATGTTTGTATACAGGACTGGTGTGTCCTTATCTCATTGGGGAGTCGGACAGTGATTTGTCCCCCTCGCTATCTTATTAACATTGGCTTCTTTTTTTTTTTTTTTGCTTTGCTACCTACATTTATATAGGTTATAAATTAAACTAAGCACAACTGACTATTAAACGATGAAAAATACTCGCGAATTTTGACGTCGTTCTGGGGTTTTTTTTTTTTCTTTTTTTTTCGTCCAAATCCTTGAATTCGTTTTACAGGTGCTAAGTCACGAAAAAAAAACGCTATATAAAAAAACGCTATATGAACAAAAACGCTATCTAAAATTCACTAGTTTTTATCCATGATGTTGAATGCGTTAAAATTCTTCAACTTTTTAACAAAAAATATCTCAAGATAATGTTTAAAACTGCTGCAAAATATTGTTGATTTATTTAAGATAGAATGATCTGTTATACATGTCTCTTATTTGTATTTAGATACATTGTATTTATTTTCAATTTTTCTAGTTGAATTGTTCACCTATTTTGAATATGATCCATTATTGTCCCTAATTTTGGTTACAATAATTTTTTTTATTTTATATGAATACTAAATGATGAAAATTGAGATATAATAGAGTGGGAGACCCGATTGGAGAGTGGGAACACGAGTCCCTTTGTCCCATCCCGATGTGCGTGTGACAGGGCCTAAATGGGGGGAAAGTAATATAATAATAATTAAATAAATAAAAACAATTTAAAAAAAGATTAAAAATTTTAAAAATACATATATTCAATTAACTTTTATCTAATAATAGAGACTGTGCATCACTCCTATTTAAATTTAAAATTCTCATCACCCCCTCTTCTTTTGTACGCATGTGTAGTCGCATCAGCGTAAACATCACTTCCGTTTTGATGAGAACTCTTTTCTACTTTGTCATAGTTTTTGCCTAATAATACAAATATAACAAAAATCTTTAACAAATAATTATCGATGTCAGATATACGTAATATCTTATAAACTAGAAATATTTCGGACTCTTCACTAGATTAACTTATTGTTAAATTATATAACATATATTGTTTTAAATTTTACAACATTTAAGGGAGAGAGGAGCTTAATAACGGTGATATAACGTTTATTGATATAGATAGTGTGGACATATGAATCAACACTGCATCTCGACTGCCAGATTCACGATGTCAGATTGCCTGAGGTTTTTTGTGTGTATATACATATATATATATATATATATATATATATATATATATATATATATAACCTATATATAAGAGACCCGGATATAAGAGAAACCCGGATATCAGAGAGAATTTCTCTGGTCCCAAATTAGAGCCTGTGTTAATGTATATAAAATAGACCAAACCCGGATATAAGAGAAACCTGGATATAAGAGACTTCTTCTCCGGTCCCGACAACTCTCTTATATCCGGGTTACACTGTATATATATGTGTGTGTGTGTGTACTAGATTTTGATTTCACACAGTCACACAACATGATGGGGGAAAATGTATGATGAAAATCGTGGCTTTTTTAATATCAGAGATAAACAGATAGGAATAGATAGATAGATAGATAGATAGATAGATAGATAGATAGATAGATAGATAGATAGATCACAGATAGATAGATAGATAGATAGATAGATAGATAGATAGATAGATAGATAGATAGATAGATAGATAGATAGATAGATATGGGTGTACGTTTTATTCTCAATTCCATGGACTTCTCTCAAATGCTGTAGATCATAAAATAGTTTCAAAATAATACCAGTGTTCTTGTATCTATTCATATTCTGTGTATTCATATTAACAGCTAAATATATATCTTATTACTTACTATTAGCAGCTAAAGTGAGATCGGGTAGGTGACTCGGCCCCGGCAACCTGAGGCTGAAAATTTCTTCTCTTACTCAAATAAATCATCAATTCACTAATCTTGTAGTTAGGAGTGGCGTTATTAAGGTCTATTGTTAATTTGAGTCGGTTCCTTTGATGTTTGTATCTCTTGCCCAGAGGTCATAGGTGGTCTGGCCTTGACTCCTGCCTAAGATGTTGCGCTGGTCATGTTTGTCCAAAGGTCAGCTTTTCTGAAAATATTCGAGTCCAGTTATTATCGGCTTCTTAGGTCTGTTGTGGGGGTCGATTTAACAAACTTTCAAGTTGTATTTAGGGGTTTCTATCTATTCTATCTAGAAAGTTTTGCTAATTTGGAAAAAAAAAGTTATGAGCGAAATGAAGACCACGGGATTAGATAGAAAGCAAAAGAAAGAAAAAAAAGGAAAGTTGGATTTGTCTGAGATTGGATTTAAAGCGGATTATTGTACAATTTGAAAATTACTTATCCTATGACCTTACGCTAATTTGAGATTTCGAAATGAAATGTTTTCAGAATGATAAATATTTTGGTAAAGTTTAAAATTTGTATCTGATAAGAAACTTTGTGTCAAAAAGACGGTTTTTTTACGAATCTTTGTCAATATTTTATTAATCTAATGTTTTTTGGTATCTGTCTATATTTCTGAGATGAGGTATTATGTACACTATTTACATTATTCGGACTATTGTCCTCATCTTCGTCGCCATGTTTATCAAAACGTTTCGGCCGTTTTATGCTCCGGCCTTCTTCAGGTGGTTGGAATGTTGAACTGAGCCATTTATTTCGCTCACTGGGGTAGACTGTTCTAGTGCCACGTGCCATGTCTAATGGATGTCAGTTATCTCCTGTTAATTTCCCTCTGAAATTTCTTCACTGCCTTAACCGGGTATTGAACTCACACTCTTTCGGTCCTGTCACTGGATCTAACTAACGCCTTTATCCACTGTGCCATGTAAATATAAATAGTGCTAATGCTGCTTTTTTGTTTTTTCTTGTTGTTGGTTTTTTTTTGTTGTTGTTTTTTTGTTAGTCCATCCTTCATTGTGGCATTACACTTAAGTTATCTTCTGATTCTGAAATGAACTATTTTTATTATTACAAATATTTTATTAGTACTTCCGAGGAGTTTGATTATATATTTATTACGCGTTTATATTCGAAGCTATTACTAGTTTATTACTCTTATTATTTGCTGTTTTTATGACATTTTTAAATTCTTCTGTTTCGATGGTTGATTTGAGATTCCAAAATAAAATTAATTCATTATTACCCATTTTATTAGTAATTTCTATTAGTCTCTTACTCATTTTATTATATCTTGAACTTGTTACCTTCTGACTTGAATAAACAAACATTTATTACATTTTATTCTGTTTAGGTTTTATTTTGAAACTTACATAATTATAAACAATACGAAAATAACTTTTAACCTTTGAACACAACTAGCAATTTTGTGAAGTATAATTCGTCTTTTTCTTCTTTTTGGTTGGAAGGAATAATGGGATATTTTCCGTTACCTTCTCCACAGTACTTTTATCAAAACACAATTTTGTGTCACCAAACCAAATATGTTGATGTCGATCAATTAGCAATCCACTAGTGGTTAAGGATCGGTGACGTGGTTAAAGAGCTGATGACTAAAGGGTGAGACAAGAGTTTATTTATGCTTCACAGGACCAGAGACTTCTTACACGTAACTACTAAGACAAATTGTGACACAAGGTCTTTTTTTTTAAGGTGGGGGACCCGAGCGCGTACACCCGGGCCAGGAACAAAAATTGCCCGCAGCCGCCGCAACCGTCGGTTGCGCTGGCCTCGGTGCGAGCACCAATCCCTCCCTCTGTCGCAACGAGAGGTCGCCGCCCCGGGCAGCTGTTCCCCAGGGCTGGGCACCTCTCAGTATAATTTTTCTCAGTTGCAACTCTTTCCTTTGACGGAGTCGCCCCTGAGCACACTCTTCCCAAAGACAGAGACGCAAACAGAGAGATGATAAATAAGGTGTTACAAACCACTCAAGAGAGAGTGATTTACACACAACTGCTATGCTAATATCTTGCATAATAGTACAGTCCTGAAATGAAGGTTCTATGACAAATAAATTTAAACTATTCATCTTCTTATTTATAAATGCTCACTACTCGCACACAATGAGTATAAAACTATTATGAAAGAGTAGCTCAGTATCTAGATTGGAAGATTAATCATCACCACCAGGGCCGGCGCTAGGGTCTAGCCCACCTCGCGAAACTTTGATACGGTACCCTCACTCACGCTAATACATGTCAATTTCAAAATTTCCCAGTCCGGGAACCACAAACCCTCAAAGGAAAATCGCGGGGGAAGGGCAGCGCTTTTTTAAATTGACAAAAATCAGGGAACTATTCAATTTGAATAAAAATTTCAGTCCATATTCATTAATTGTTTACTTTTATAATAAATAGCTTGTTTTTTATTTTAAAAAAAAACTGAGAAAATATTCTTTTTGTAATAACCACCAATATTTTCATGACTAAATTTTACTCGAAAAATAATTTTACATCTCCGCTGAAAAAAAAAAGAAGTTTTACAAAAATTCCAACACAACACAAACGGGATTGTCTTAAAAATTTGTTTTAAAAACAGTATTTCAATTTTCGGGAAATTTTTTCATGTGCTGAAATCTTTAAACACTTTTTTTTTAAGCGATCATTTTCTCGGTTTTATATTTCTAGAAATGTAAAAAATAGGGAGTATAAATTTTATTTTAATTAGTAGCCTTCGTCTTCTGGTTAGTATTACTATTAATAAAAAAAAGAAGTGGAAGATCTCGGTATAAAAAATGATTTTATCGAGATATATTACCCTCTTAATTAATTTAAAAGAAGTGTTCAGAAAGAAAATTACAATTAAAAAAAATAATCGCTACTGAAATTAACAATTCTACCCCCCTTCTTAGTAAGCATGGGACCCCACGCAGTTGAGAGGTTCGGGGTAATCAATTATTATAGTTGATGATTGACAATATAATTTAAGTAGAAAAAAGTAAAAAGTACAAAAAGCCAAAGAACGCTGCTGAAACTAGTTTAAAAATAATTAAAATGGCGCATCGCCATAAAAAAGTGCTGAAAAAAATGGCAGAGGCCACAACGGGACCCAAAAAACGTCCCCCCACCCACGTCGGGGTTTTCGGAGTAAGACGCACCGGCCCTGATTACGACGTGATAAGCCAGCTGCAAACTGACATGAACATCATCCTGAATCTGTTATTGAGGGATCAGATGTTATCATCCTTTGGGATTTTTCTATCAACACAGATCGAACAATGCAGGAAAATCGCCTTGATTATTATGAAGGAGAAAAATAAAAAAAAATAGTTTGGATATTGATTGATATGAATATGCCTTGGGACAAAAAAAAGTCTCTGTGAAAGTTTTTTGAAATTTACTAAGCAAATGCAAAAACCTGGAGATGGAAATAAAAAAAATAAGTGACGCTTAAGTGTCACCATATTTCCATTTTCACTTTTATCGTAAAAAATGTTTAATTCTTAATTCATGCAAGAAACGTAAAAAAACGGCTTGAAATGTTACCTTTCAAAATGTGTATACATGCAATAAATTTCAGTCACGTGTGAAATGAAATCACGTGTTCAAACAGCACCTACAAGATTTTTTCCAACTCATAGCAGATAATGGCTTATAATTAGGTTATTAATTGTCTATTATTTAGAGAAACATAAATTATTGGGAAAATAACTTATTGACATTATAACTATAACGCACACATACACACGTACACATACACACGCACACACACACACGCACATGCACACAGTGTACGATAAATAAATTGTCGTCTAAATTACGCCAAAATGAAAATAATACTGTCATCTCATTTTAACAGCTATATTTACCAACATTACACAAAAATAAATTGAAATACTAAAGAGTAAATTTAGTGAATAGAATCGCCATTGGCTTCAGCCACGGCCTCCAGACAACTTCGAAATATACACTATTTACATTATTCGGACTATTGTCCTCATCTTTGTTGCCATATTTATTACAAGGACACATGGTTAGTTAGATCCGGTGACAGGACCCAAAGAGTGTGAGTTCAATATCCGATTAAGGCAGTGGAGAACTTAGAGAGGGGAATTAACAGGAGATAACTGATAACTGACATCCATTAGACATGGCACGTGGAACTAGAACAGTTTACCCCAGTGAGCGAAATAAAGGGTTCAGTTCGACATGCCAACCACCTGAAGAAGGCCGGAGTGTACAACGGCCAAAAGGTTGTAATAAATATGGCAACAAAGATGAGGAAATTAGTATGAATAATGTAAATAGTGTACATAATACCCCATTTCAAAAATATAAACAGATACTGAAAGGCCGAAACGTTGTAATAAATATGGCGACAAAGATGAGGACAACAGTCCGAATAATGTAAATAGTGTACATAATACCTCATCTCAGAAATATAGACAGAAACTTCGGAATATCCTGTAAATCTTCTGGACGGTTTCTTTAAGTTGGTGAATTCTGTTACAATCCTTGCTTCAGGTCATCTTTGGTGCTACAAAAAGTTTTATTGGTCTATCGATCAAGTGCACCCCACACATAATAATCAAGGGGTTCACAGTGTAGGGAGTTAGGTGGTCAGATGTCAGGATGTTGTGGTTACAGAAAGTACAGATTACAGAAAAGTCTCATAACGGTTCTACTGTTTGTGTGGCATAGTGCAGAATCCTGTTGCCAGACATAGGCTCTTCCAGCATCCACCATCTTGACCCAGGACTGCCCTACCTCCTCAAGGCACTTGATGTATGACCTGTGGGAATATGAAAGGAGGCATAACGTCACCATTACTAGTGATCACCCCAAGCACCATGATGTTGACTGGATATATCATCCAACTCTTTCCAAATCCTCTGCCCTGTCCTCAGATTGACACCCATACCCTCTGAAATGTTCGTATTAGAGCTTCCGCCGCGAATGCCAAGCAGTACAGAATGCTGTTTCAAAATTTCTGTCGGAGTGAATTGCGTTATGGTGCTCTTGTTCTCACAGATGGTGGCCAACTGACCTTACTATACTGTGCTGTCGACAAAATCAAAAACAAACAACACGCATGCGCGAAATTAAAAATGCAATATGGCGACAATTTACCTATCGCATCCTGTATATACTTTGTCGAAACTAAGAGATACTTCTGAGTTTTCCTAATCTTTTTAAGATGAAATAAATAAACTCACAGGAAAATAAAAAAAAATAAAATAAAATATTTTCTATTTAATGATCGTCTGCTAAATCAATAAATCTTTTTCTTATTAGCACTTACAGAGAAGGCCATTAGCAAATAATGATTTAATTAAATGTGATTTTTTTTTCAACTTCCGTCGATGCAATTACCATCTGTAAAACGATAGGCGAGGAAGAAATTTGCTTCAACAAAATTAAAAAAAAAAAAAAAAAGATTTAAACAAATCAAAACGAGAACAAAAGACAAAAAAGTCAGATACGTTAATTTTCTCTTTTTGTTATTAAGAAAGCAAAACAAAATGAATTTGCCTTTCATCCAAGTAAAAATGGCTAATGGTTTGGATGTTTTTTCAATGCTATGTGCTTTTAGGACGTAAGCGATCGTTAGTCTCCCGGGATTCAATTTCTTTAATTTCTGTGAATCGACATGACTTATTGGGAAAGATAGTGGGGTGGTTTTTCTACGGTTTTTTGAATTTAGAGTAGACCATTTCTTAGAATGGTTACCACCCAAAGCTAGAAAGAACAGTCTACCCTATTATTTAATCCGTAACTGATTGGAACAAAAGGTGGATTTACACCCTACCCGAGATCATTAGTGCTAAAATGAAACCAACAAACAAGGACAAAATTTGTGCTGGAGCCCGAACATAGACGTTACACTCCCGTCATGTCCCATAAACCGGGGGGGGGCACTGCCACCTCACGTTAAATTCTATCAGCGAAGATAAGCAACGTCAAGCCTGGTCAGTATCTAGATGGGTGACTGCTTGGAGATACCATGTGCTGTATGTCTGGATGTGCAGGTGGTGTAATGTCTAATGACTCAGAATTGTTAACCGGGGAGTCGAGTTCCAATTCCAGTTGGGTTCGTTATATTCACTTACGCACAAATACTCTTGGGAAAGGTAAGAATGCCCCTCTTCTCCTCCAAGTTATGGATTAATTAGTTACACTTGTGTCTCTAAACCCTTATTATTTCCAAAAAATAAAATAAAATTGTGTACGAAATATTTAGATATCGGCATTAAACAACCCATAGAGGTGTTGATATGCCACTAAAAAAAAACAACCAATCTAATTTTTTTTAATACCATTTCACTCCAGGAAGAAGGCAATCGTGTATCATTACCGATTCCATTTCTTTATTATCTGTGAATTGTCATGGTTTCTTGGGGAAAATAGTGGAATGTTTTCCTGTTTATTTCTCCACTGTTTGAAATTCAGAGACCTCGTAGACTAGATTCTAACCGAGGCTCATGAGCCCAGTCTGCCCTGCTAATTAACTCAAAAACATTTAAACGGATCAAAACAAAAACAAAAATCAAAAAAAATATACGGAATTTACCTTTTGATCAGCTTTATGTCTCGCACTTCCCGTCTGTGTAACTCCCTTCCTCTTACTTGCTCCCCTGATAACTATAATTTTCAATTATTCAAATGCAATGTCAATCGACATCTTCAGATGCCCTGATCTAATTTCCCGCCCTTCTCTTCATCTTTTCCTCTATCACGCCTCTTTACTCTTGTTCCCACTGTCTGTTACCCCTTGCGTGCTAGTGCCACACCCGTCTTGGTTCGGGTGAAATGCTTAAAAAAAAGGGTGAAAATGACTTGTTGGGAAATATTGTGGAATGATTCCTCGTATACTTCGCGACAGTTTGAAATTCAAAGTTGACTTTCTCGTAGACTAGGTGCTAACCAAGGCTGCAGCCTTCATTGTTAAATAATTTCCCAAAACAGAACGAAAGGCAAGATTTATTTAAAAACAAAAAAAAAAAAAAGAAATTTTAACGGCTTCAAGACTGAAAATGAGAAAAAGTCGTCCCTGTTGATTAAGTCATAACTGTAAAGAGACAAAATGTATTCGTACCTTTCCAAGGTACCCTTATGCGAAAGTGAACGCAACAGACTAGCCCGAGTTTGAACCCTGATACGACTTTCTACACCGCTAACTATTTTTCTACTTGCCCATCTTTTATGATAGTCAGTCAGTTATATGCCATGTGTGATATACGCTTAGGCGATCATGTTTCTCTCGATACATGACTGACGAGGCAGATTTTTTTCTCCGCAGTAGATTGTCATTTCTTTCTGCGGTAGACCAGTTGCCTTCCAATGCTATAGAATCCGGTCTGTCCTAGTATTTACCCATAGCTGGGAGGAGAAGAAAAGGGTTCATACCTTTCCCAAGGGTATTAGTACGTAAATGAATTTAATGGATTCGACTGGAAAGTCAGTCAGTCAGTCAGTTATGTGCCATGCGTGATACACGATTAGGCGATCATTTATCTTTCGATACATGACGAAAGACGCCGATTTTTTCCCGCAGTCGGTTGCCATTTCTTTCTGCAATAGACCAGTTGCCATCCAAGGCTATAGAACCCGATATGTCCTGCTATTTACCCATAGGGCGGAGAAGAAGAGGATTCATATCTTTCCTAAGGGTATTAGCACGTAAGTGAATTTAATGGATTCGACTGGTATTCGAACTCGGCTCTCCGATTCCTCAATTCGAGCCGCTATTCATTCCTCCACCGTAATTATTGAAAACAGTAAGAATACTGGTAAAAGTGCTAAAATTTTGAAATCATTCGTTGTGTCTTGATTCACAGCAAAAAAAAAAAATTACGATTGTCAAAGAGTTAAAATTGATTGAAAATAAAACAATAAATCCAAAGACGATAAAAATATTGCAAACAACGCTATACTGCCATCACGCCTTCTGCAAGACATGCCAGTTTTTTACCGGGGTAAGAATCATTTACATGAAAGACAAATGACAACCGATGCAATAGACATAACGGATAACAAATCGATCACGTCATTAATTACACAACGCCGCCATGAATGCTGAGAAATAATCGAAAACGACTCAATAAAAAATGTGGGGGGGGTAATTAAAAAAAAATGAATTTCTTTCGAGAATAAGGAAAATACTAGCGTCAGAGTCCTTTATAATAATCTTAAAGAAAGCTTCCACAATGACGGCTTGTAAAAGACTGGAAATTAAAAAATAAATAAATAAAGCTCACCAGAGAAATGATTTCTTGCTCGATACGCGATACACAAAATCGGCTCAACGTTAAAATAAAATTTTTAAAAATTAAATTGTATTTGACCTAATGAAAATCTTTAAAAAGAAATTGAAAACACACACACACACATCCGTCCTCTACACTTTTATGGAGGCTGATCTTTTAAAAGGATAATTAATGGCATAGCCGTGCACAGACTAACCCAGAACATTACAAAAGCTCCCCTCCCCCGCAAACAAATGCGTAAGAACAAACTGCCTAATGCGAAGATTGACAAAATCCAAGAAAAAAAACCGCAGATGCCGTCTGTACGAAGAAAAAAGATGAGGTGGTAAACTGCATAATAAATATAACAAAACTCAACTAGAAAGTATAATAGACATGACAGGGTAGGAACAGTAATACGCTGAGAACTGTGAAAATCGTTTGGTTCGACCATAAAAATAAAATACAGTAAAATTCTGAACCAACCAACTACCAAGACAGAAAACAAAAGGACCTGGAAGACAAGCTGCAAGGTTGTATCAGCGAACGACAAAGTGAATGTAAAAAGGAGAATGAGATTTTATAAAAAACAGGGGAAAGATTGAAATTATACCGGGTGTAACAGCCAAATTGTCCAAGTGTTAATCTTTGAACCGTTGTATCTTAGAAATGATTAAATATATCTTACTGGAATTCTCCGAGGTTTTTATAACACAATTGGACTCTACTTTGAACAATAAAAATGTATTTAGCTCTAAGATGAAATGATGATCCCTCTCGCTGTTGTGACCTCCTGGTTCAGTTTTACTCTCTACTCTTCCCTCTTTTTTAAACATATTCCCTGTTCTTTTGATGGTTCTTGAATTAACTTTGAAGATGGAAACCAGATTATGAAGGTTGGTACCATTATTAAAGGCCCGAATGAACTTTTTTCTCTCACCATTGCTCAGTTTGGAAGACATAGGGGGGCTGGCACAAAACAATTTTAACCTGTTCTATTTTTAGCTAAATAATTCAAAGAGTCTTTTCATGATTCTTACGACAAATATAGTATCAAGATGGTTAGACGTCTTATCTGAAAACCTGGAAAAAAAGAAACTCAATTACTTTAGTGTTTTTTTAGATCTTAAACATTTTGTTGGATGGACAATTATCCCATGTTGTTACAAGATTTGGACAATTTTGTTGTTACACCCCGTATAGAATATAATGTTGCTGAGATCTGACGATACTGAGGAAGGTGTTTTAGATTTGAGCAGACTTGCTGTCAGTCAATCTTCAGCGATCTCCACAAGGCATCAGATTTAAATTATGCTACTGATTGATTTATTTGTTCTTGACGGCTTATCAACCCGTTATGAGTTATTTAAAGCCGAAACATATTTTAGATTGTAAGAATATTTCTTTTTATTTTCGAGTGAAGATTGCATTAAGAATTTCTTTTTAGAATAACAATGGTTATTTGGGTCGAACTATTTTACTATTATATTTTAGTGGGTGGGGGTGAAGATGGAATCATACCTTACCCAAGGGTATTTGTTCGTAAGTGAAGGTCTTTTTATATCTATCTATCTATCTATCTATCTATCTATCTATCTATCTATCTATCGCGGTTTTTTTATATCTGCTTTTTTTCCTTCTCTCTCTCCCTCAGTTTATTCATATCTACCTTTTTCTATCTTTCCTTCTCTCTTTCTATCAATCTTTTCATATCTATCTATCTATCTCGGTCTTTTCATATATATCTATCTTTCTATCTTTGTTTCCCTCAGTCATTTCGTATCTATCTTTCTTTCTATATATCTCTATATGTATCTTGTCATATCTATCTATCTATCTATCTATCTATCTATCTATCTATCTATCACCGTCTTTTTACATCTATCTATCTATCTATCTATCTATCTATCTATCTATCTATCTATCTATCTATCTATCTATCTATCTCCGTCCGTCTTTTCATATCTGTTTTTCTTTTCTTCTCTCTTTACTTCAGTTTTTCATATCTATCTTTTCTATTTCGCTCTCTCTCTCTCTCTCTCTCTCTCTCTCTCTCTCTCTCTATATATATATATATATATATATATATATATATCAATCTTTTCATATCTATCTATCTATCTATCTTTCAGTTTGTTCATATCTATCTTTTTCTATCTATCTTTCTCTCTCACTCTCTCTCTCTCTATATATATATATATATCAATCTCTTCATATCTATCTATCTATCTATCTATCTATCTTTCAGTCTGTTCATTTTCCATCCTTTTATTCTGACTCATTTCATTACATTTTGAAACTTTTTTCTTATCAAAATTTCTAATCGTAATTCTCTTTGTCTATCTATGTTAATATATTTCTATTTTAAATGCTGACTTATTCCTTCTAACCCCGACCGAAGGGTATTTTTCATAATGATATTTCAAGTTAAACTCCAGAGACCAATTTCCAAATTGTAATGTATATAATAAGTATCCAGATGTTTCAAATAATGGCTTAAGACAAAATATTGAAATATAGAAATAAAACAAAAGGAATTGCTTTATAAGAGAAATCACGAGATGTTATCGTTCTTCCCTTCTTCGGTTAATTCAGTTAAAATAAATAAAAATAAAAAAAAAAAGATTTTCGACGAAATCATCAAAATTACAACGAAATCCGTAATTACTGCTTCATCTTTCATCTGGCATTTTTATTCAGAAAACAAAATAGAGAAATTGGCTTTTGCTGAGTAAAGAGTTACTTTCGCAACAATATTTTTCCCTAAAAACATTATTTTTCACTCTGCTTTGTTGGTTGTAATTATTATAACGCTAATAGCAAAAAAAAAGAAGACAATGACTATATATATATATATATATATATATATATATATATATATATATATATATATATATATATATATATTTATAAATGTAAAAAGACAATAGGAAAACTGTAATAGTTGCCGACGCGTTTCATTCGATGTGGACTTTCTCAAGGCAAAAAACGAAATGAATTTATTAAACAAAGTAACTAATAATAAGAACAAAACAAAATGTCCTTAGCAACTGGAAGAATTTAGAGAATGCTATTTTCATACTGTGAACTGAAAATTACGTCAATTACTGTTTCAGTTAACAGTATGAAAATTGTGTCGGCAACTATTAGAGTTTTCTTATTGTCTTTTACATTTATAAATATTGTCTTTTTCTACAGGTTAACTCTGAGAAATTTTTCATAAACATATATATATATATATATATATATATATAATTATTTATTTAAAAATATGATTCCATCGCTACACAAGAGTTCTCATGTTTCAAAATATAAGCGAACACTGAAGTCAACACTTAGAGGCGACAGACTGTTTCATACTAAATGCAGTCATCAAGCCACATGTGTTTTTTCTCGACTAAAAATAGTTGAGAAAAAAAAAACACATGTGACTTGATGATTGTGTTTAATATGAAACAGTCTGTCGCCTCTGAGTATTGAGCGTCAAGTACCTGTAATATTTCTTTTCTTTTTTTTTCAAGTATTTCACCCCAAGCAAGGCTGGAAGCCACTAGCACGCAAGTGGTTACAGAGGATTTGGAGTGAGAGCAAATAGGAGTGATAGAGAAAAGGATGAAGAGAAGGATAGTGGATTGATCAAGGCAACTGGAGATGTCAATTAACATTACATTTGAATAGTTGGAGATTATAGCTATCAGGGAAACAGGAAAAGGGAAGGGAGTTCCACAGGCGAGATGTGCGAGATATGAAGCTATTGGAGTAGAAGAGATGGCTACATTTATCAGTTTCAACAGTGAAAGGGTGAGAGCGGGATGCCAGCCTCGTAGGGCGCTTGAATTCATGAAGTCTGGGAACCAGCGAATGCAGCTCC